CTAGTAATGTTGTGGAGTTGTATTTTGTCTCGCATCAATTATATCGTCAGTTATATCGTTATCGCAAATTTTCAAATATATATCGTGATAAATATTTTTGGCCATATCGCCCTGCTCTACTGAGATGAAAGTTTGGAGTTGGGAACATGGTGTGGGGCTGTTTTTCAGCATATGGCACTGGCATGCCTCATTTTACTGAATGAAAGATTAAAGGAAAAATGTACCGAGACATTATTGATAAAAATCTGCTGCCATCTAACAAGATGATGAAGATGAAATATGGGTAGATGTTTCAGCAAGATAATGATCTCAAACACAGAGACATGTAAGCTCTCTATTAGCTTCAGAGAAAGAAAATAAAGCTGCTAGAATAGCGCAGCCTGCCCGGAGTACAGTTGAAAGTCTTGGAAAGAACTTGAACAGAGTTCACAGAAGGTGCCCACTGAACCTAAAGGCTTTGAAGACCGAGGAAAAATGGGCCACAATCACACCTGAGCAATACGTGCGAGTAGTTCCTCCATACGGGAGGTGTTTTGAAGTTGTCATCACCACAAAAGGCTTCTGTACAAGGTATTAAATAAATTAGAATAAGGGTGTTCAATATTTTTTTCCCTGTGCGATTTTCCATTGTTACACACAACTTGATTTATGGACATCTATGTTTTAATTTCTTTATTACTGCAGTCAAGTGTTCTAGCCATTCTCAAGATGTTTTTCTTGCTTTCTCAGATTATCTGAGATTATTGCTTTGGCATTCACCTTCATAGGCTTCTTCCTTATGTGTTTTGGACTAGTTCACCTTTTTGTTTTTGTTTCTGATAACTGTTTTGTTGACTTAGTAACTGAAAGCACGTGTCTGACTTCATAAATCTCTTATTTTGGACTGACTAACTGACTGTCTACATATGGGTCTTCTCCCTACTTAACCATTGCAGTACATCTTTTTGCAACTCTGACAATCACCTTTATGGTCAGAGATGCTTTATAGCAGGGGTCTCAAACTCACAGCACGGGGACCACTTGCTGCCCACGTCACCCCTACTTGTAGTGACGTGAAGAAATATAATGCAATTTGGCCCTTGAAGTTCCTTTTTTTTGATAGGGAGGATTTGTTTGTTGTTGAGTTCAATGTTAAAATAAATTCTTTAAAAAGCAAAAAATGATTTAATATGAAAGCAGTATGAGCAGAGAGTACAAACATGTTGAGGGATTGGCTGTGTCAGTTCATTAATGGAGATATTTGTAAAGAAAACAATTTTCACTAGCAGTCAAAAACTAATGTATCTGATTTTTTATTTTGCTAAATACAAAAAAGGTTATAGCAGAAATGCTGCCATGTGTCTTACCAGAAAGAGAGTACCAGTTTGTTTATTTGGTAGTTCAATGAAGGGCTTCAGTTAAAGAGTGAGAAAAATATATATATATTTGCGCTCATGTTTGCAGTTTTGCCTTGTTATACAACATTTAAAATAAAAAAATAAAAAAGGCAAAACACTACATTTTCAGAAATATTTTTGTGTGTTTGTTTGTTTTTTGTACTACTTGAGCACTAGCGTAGCCCTCCAATGAGATGACACTGCCAGCAATGGCCCACAGTTCATTTAAGTTTGCTTTATAGGCTTCAGGCTTTATGGGAGAAACCCCTTAAAGATAAATTTCCCCTATGACTGATTAGTGCAGTTGTATAGTTTGCAGGACATGCAGTGTCCACTATAACAATAGCTCTTTTTCCTTTGTTATGTTTTTTATATAGTCTAAATAGATGTTTAGTGACTGTATAACCAGAATAGTCATTTATTTGCACTAAATTTAATTGCATTAATTGCATTACAATACAAAATGTTATATTTACTTATTTATTTATTTATTTAGGTCAGTGCATGTTAATGAACATAAATGTAAAAAAAATTACATGAATGTAAACATACCAGATTATAGCCAAGGGCTAGTTTCCATCTGTTGTCCTTAAGCATAAAAATAGACATAATAATTCATAAAAATTCATCATTCATTCATAATAAAAACTCCATCACCAAACTTACACATACACACCATTCTGTTCCCAAATAAAACATTAAAACTATGCAACTCATACATGATCACACACTTGATTTGTCCATAACCTGTTTTTAACCTTTGCCTTAAACAAATTGAATTTCGAGCATTCTCTAATGGGTTGAGGAAGACTGTTCCACAGATGGCCTCCCTTGACAGAGAGGACGTTCTGCCCAAATGCTGTCCGTCTGTGGGGTATAAACAAGTCTCCTCGGATTGTAGCTCGAGTGGTCCTGTCTGAGCTACCAAATACTTAAACATTCTCACATGTGCATGTTCATGACATTGTGTCCCATTGTGTGAATGCAACTTAAACATGTAAAATTATATATATATATTATATAAAAGATTTTAAGTTCCCTTTATTCTATATAGATTAAGTAGCCCTTTTCCTACTTTTGCTACCTTATTTCCTAAAAGGTTGACACAGCAGATGGAATACATATGTAATTTGGCACTATTTAAATGTATTAACTTATTTATTTTATATCAGATGCCATTTGTAATGAAATAGACGAAGTTATCACAACATGTGTACATACATGGAATCCATCCTACCTTGTATCAGAAAGTTCAGTCTGGTGCGGTAATGATGTGATATGATATTTTGGGATATTTTCTTGGCACACTTTGGGCCCCTAGTATCAAGTGAGCATTGATTAAATTCTATACCTTAATATCCAAACCGGACCCATCTTCTAACAGCTGCTTTCAGCAGATTAATGCACCATGTCAAAAATCTCAGACAATCTCAGCCTGGTTTCTTGAACATAAAATTGAGTTAATTGTATTTAAATGACCTCTACAATTAACAGATTTCAATCCAAAAGGGCACCTTTGGCATGTGGCAGAATGGGAAATGCCTCATTGCTCCCTCGTGGCAGCTGACAAATGTGCAACAACTCCGTGATGCTATCATGCCAAAATGGATCAAAAGCTCTGATATTTTCAACATCTTGTAAAATCTTCTAATTAAGGTAAAGGCATACGGGGGCAACCTAGTAAAAGCAAGGTGTACCTAATAAAGTGGACAGAGTACAACTCTTTCCTTAGATAGAAAGGTGATGTGGATATTTTCATGTAATGGTCACACTAGAGTTGCTGCATACACCTCCAGTATATTGCACTTCGCCTTTCACTAAAAGATAAAAAGCATGTGAATCCATTCTAAATAACAACAAACAACACCACTGTTCAATAAATTGTGGTGTTACCTGCACATTTCTGCTTCCAGCCTATCTGAAAGACTTATACTATTAGCAAACAGAAATTCCTGGTAATGTTACTTGAAATAAAAAAATAAAATTACTCATTGACTACAAGAAAGGATCCGAGATCAACAGGGCCCTAAAAGTCTTCATCAGGAACTCAATAGGGATGTGGCAAACAACAGTGAGAACATAAAGAATTTTGATGGAGAATTTATATAAAATGCCTTCTTATCATTGTGTTAGTTTCCCAAGCAGCTACAGAAAATATATAGGCGACATTGCCTATATATGGCCAAATGTACTCCCCATCTGTCTTAGTATGCATATGAACCTGAGATCCCATTTTTAATCCACGGGATTGAATATGATGTTGGTCCAGCTACAACAGATTCAACTCTCCTAGGAAGGCTTTCCACAATGTTTAGAGGAGTGTGTTGGAAGTGTTGGAACAGGAAGGGACGGATCCACAAATGGGATCATATTATTGTCTGAATTATCTATGCTGAAGTATTAAGAGTTCCTTTCACTGCATCTAAGGAGCTTGTCTCCTGAAAAAGAACCCCACATCGTAATCCCCCCTCTACCAAACTTTAGGGTTGGCACAGTCCACCCAAGCAAGTACCGTTCTCCTAGCAACCACCAAACCCAGACTCAGCCATCAGACTGCTCTGCTCTTTTATACACCTGCAGCCATGGATGTGACTGAAAAACTTGACTTTAATGATTTGGATTGATGAGTGAATAGATATGGCAATATAGGTTGTTGCCATATCTATTGCTTAAGGGGGTTCTCCAAATTTAAATTCAAGAGGTCACTTGACTTTAAGCAGCAAATACAGCTGATATCAGTGTAACCAGACAGGATTTTTGTCCGTAATTGTGGCTTAGATGAAGACTTGATTGGATTTGATGAGCAATTGGTTGTAAGTTCTGGTAATTCCTAATGTTTTCAACAACTTAGCCTTTCTCCCAACTGCTGAACCATATGTGTAATGAAATATTTATTAACAGAAACAAAGTAAAATTTCTTTTGTAGATTTGTTTTTATACCATTAAACAGTTACAGGATAGCGATTTGTTAGTGTTAATGCTAGTGAGTGAATTGACATATATGAATCATTAATGGTTAGTACGTTCATATAAAAAGTGTCATTGAAAGCACTGCAGTGCATTAATAAATAATAATAAATAATAGCTAATCATCTCCAGAGTGCACTCATGTCTATCATGAGATCATGGGCTGAACAGCAGCAACAGGAGATCTTGAGCTGTAGGTCATTCTAGCTCAAACGTGTCTTATTTTCTTACCGTCCATTTGATACAAGGACCATTAATGGAATGACATATCAAACACAAGAGCACTTACTCATGTCAGACAGTGCTATGCCGTCTGATCTACCATCAGGCGGCTGCAGTCAGGTCATTTACTAACAGCGTGACAGATTAATCCTCATACCTTGTATCATTTAAGCAAGTATTCTGTTACACAGAAAGTCCAAGATCAGCTTCTAATGAGCTGGTGCACTTTCAAGGTGTGAGGTAGATGTACAGTTTGATTGGCAGACAAGTGTGCTATCAAGCTGTCTTCAGGTCTTCTCCGTTCTTCTCGACATTTCTATACTTACACTTCCCCTGAAAGCTGTCCTGAGGGATAACATGACAAGTAAACACCAGTTGTAGGTGCTTTGATCAAAGCTGGTACTGTGAGAAAAATGTTAGGTCATAACCACATTTGTCTCCTTTTACATCTTATTTTAGTGAGCCTGGCCAGGTGCAGCATGATTAAGCCACCGTGTCATGAATCATGCTATTAGTTATCAAACTGACACATTGCCCTCAGCCTCCTCCCCGAAACAACTTGTTATGAAGTCAGTGACAATAAATATGTTCATTTATTACAGAAATTATTTGCAGCTCAGTAGAGCTGAAGTAGTGGAAGTTTGGGATAGTTTAAAAAGCGAATTATAAAGTTTCTTGAAAGGCAAAATCGAAATTTCAACACTGTATACATTTCTATTATCAGCCTCCCAGTAATAAAACTTATTCGTTTTAAACATTTGTAAATTCACAACAGTAACTTGAATCAACCACAGGGTTATCATGTACCATATAACAGCTGAGCTGAGTGTAGGAATACTACACCGCATCCCTATTTATAGTAGTGATCAAATTATCATTCTACATTTCCTATGGGACTGAAACCATCTTCATACAGAGCAGTCTGGTGTCATCTTTGTAATGCTTCGGAAAAACTCAAACCAGTCAAAAATAATCATATCAAACGAATTGATCATTATTTAAAACAGACATCATTCTTATAAATTCATATCTGGTAAACTTCTTAACCCTTTCCCACTATTGCTCATTACATGCGTTGATGTAACGTGTTGTCACATTGTAACACATGGGTTATCGCTATAGCATAATTTTGCGAAATGGTGAAGTCTAAAAACTAACACAAGTTTGAAGTCTGAAGTGGTGGCAATGACATTCTCACTCACCCTCAACCAAGGGCACAAACACCTCAGAGGCTGCTTCCACAGTAACCACACGTTACATGAAAAGATTAGGTACTCTGAAAGAACTGAGTGGATATAATAGATTTTTGCAGAACACAATTTAATAGTGGATAAGCGTTACAATACAGAAACTAGGAATAAGCACTGGCAATGTTTATAATTTACTAGCATCAGCTCTTGTTGTGAGGTGTTGATGTTAACTATAGCGCCACTGAACTATATTTAGAGTGAAATACCATGCCTATTTTGTGCCTGATGCGGTTGTGACAGTTGCTGCTAAAAATGGGGAAAGCTGTGAGTGTAGTTCCAGAACTTTTTCTCTGTCCTGCAGCTCTGCCCTGCACCCTTATCCCAAATGTTTAAATGTTTAATCTCACAGAATTCTGGTTCTCAATAATATTCGTATCTCATACAGAATACAAGACAAATTAAAGGATGAGTCTTGTGACTGTCATTGAATAGTAATAAACAGTCTGTGTAGTTGGTCATCACAGGTTTTGTGTTGCAGGCTACAAGTGACATTAGACGACCAGACAATTGTGTTCAAATGACGTTCTGGGTTTTATGATAGGTCACCTGGTATGTTTGTCCATGTGTTCTAACAGTAAAGCTGTTCCCAGTCACCTGTGAGTACATCAAAGGAGAGAAACAGTTCTACTACAGAGCTCAGAAGTTCTACGAGGATGTTCCTGCCTCAGAGGAGGGCATGATGGGAGATTTCGTAGAAATATCCAATGTTGATCTGGAAGGTTCCCTTCAGTTTTTGAAGAGGTTCGTGGTAAGTCAAAAGTTAGTACCTCACATTCAATTAATAGAATCCAGCCAAAAACAAATCAGGGAAATTTTCACGCATGCTGGTCACTACAGTGGGCAGCTAGTCAAAGGCTGTATTCTTGTATTTGTGTGAGTGTTGTTGGTATACTTGAACATAAACCACCCCATTGGACACTGATGTGTCACTCCACCCTGCCACCCACTGATCGTTTAATGTTACTATGATGTGTTTCATTGTAATTATTGTTATTTAACCCTGTCATGCATGAATTATGACAACCTCTGTCAGGATTTTTTTAAAAGTACTTTTATTCATCTTTTCATGCCTAAAGATGAATAAAAATAGCTTTTAAGCTTTAAAGTATATGCTTTGCATGCACTTTGTCATAGTTTCTGCATATTGTCCTGTAGTATATCAATTTGCAATGTAGCTCTTAGTGTACATGCCAGAATCTATTTTTGGTGAGAAATTTGTCATCCTTATTGTACAAAACAAATTATTGTTTCATGATGATGGCGCCTCAGTGCAAATTCTAATTATACTGGAGTCGTGATGGCAGCCTCATAAACACCCACACAGAGTGAGCTGAGCCAACAGCTGGTAATCACTTTGTACTATGGTATTTTTATTTTTTATTTTTTTAAAAACAGCGCTAACTTCTGTACAGTGGACAAGGAAAGGATTTCTTTAATGTTCTGGGTTTGTCTGTGTGTGTGTTGCTGCTGTAGACAGGGGAGTCAGGCTACATGCCCTTTATTTACAAACTCCTAAGACTGCTTAAAAGGAACTACAGACAATTAGGAGGCATCCTTTCTCTAGCAGTAATATAACCATATAAAATTATAATGCTCAAAAAGCATAAAGAAAATGGGAAATTGGGATAGCAATTTATACATTAATGTACACAGTGGAGTGAAGAGATTGAAAACACTGTGAATTTTCACATTCTATATCAATTTCAACTTGGCAGAGATAGGGTTAATGATTTATTCTATTTCAAACAGGCCAATGAAACTGGGAGCCAATTTTTTGGACTCCTGTTGAGCTAATTAATAGGTATGTCCTCATTGTCATCAGTTGAGATTTTATTTTGAAAGGATGCTTCCTGTTATGCTGCAGAGTATATGCGAGAGTTCAATAAACAAAGTCACCTTTTGGTGTGAATGCTCCGGTAAAAGCCGATGCCCCACGTGTGATTATTCCTCCGTCTAGATAATAAGTATCTTCAATATTCATGCAGATTCTGCTAGAAGACCCGTCTCTGCTAACAACTCCATACAGAGCGCAATGTTCATAGGAGGGGACATCTGAGGGTACAGTGAGCTCACCTTCAGTGGCTGGGAATGAGGTGGCTCCTAGCCAAGCCATGCTTCAAAGGTTAATAGGCCCATAGCAGCAGAGGTCATGGTGTTGTGGGCGTATTCTATCCACACCAGCTTGGAGTGCCATATTGACATGTTGGAGGAGACATTGCACTGAAGAGGGACCTCAGTCCAAAACTCCCATACACGAGAGCTGAACTGGAGCCACTAGTTAGAGATGATGTCAGAAGGAATGCTGTGGAGTCTGAATGCGTCCGCCAGGCTATGGTGGACTCGGGTTTTATGCAGACCCTGCCCCACCAAACCCTGGTTTGGCCTGGGGCATTGCTGGAGGCAGAGTGGGTGGAGGTTAGATGTGTGCATGGGGACAGCCACAAATATCCCATAGTGCCGCTTCAGCAAATTCTCCTATTAGCAGCAAACTGTCGGAGTGGGAGACTAGGCACAGCACAGTAGAGAAAGAGTGCCTGGTATTCCAGTGGGCAATCAACAATGCTCCTTCATTATTACCTCCTGGGCTGCCTTTTCACCCTGTGTTCGGATGGGTGATGGAACTGCAGTGCCTCCGTCGCATGAAGGATGCCAATGTCCGGATCACCTGGTGGCATCTGGCTCTCCACCAGGTGGTCCATAGGCCAGGGATGGAGATGGTTGTCACTGATTTCCTCTCCTGCTCGGCTAGGCCTAGATGGCTCTCCATCGATGGGGGTATGGGTGGCTTGTGGCTTAGCTTCAGGGGGGTAGGGGGGGGATGAATGGCTTCAGGGTGTGGTGTTCAGGGAGGGCTCTCACACACATAACCTGCATCATCTGATTATGTCTCCCCATTGTGTGTGGTGTAAAGCAGGAGGATCATTATTCTCTTCCAAAGCCTCTTCCCTGGCTGTGAACAGCTTCTGTTTACACCTGACGTTTCCATTAAAAAAGAGTGTGGCAGGAAAAGATTTAGAACGCATCCAGATTAAAGAGAGCTACATAAGCGCACAGCAGTATGGCAGTAATTCACTGAAACCAAGAAGCTTCCTGTAACAGAGCTCCTGTGGGCCCCCATACTTTCCTACAATCATAAACTGGGGTCCCTGATGTGGAGGGGTTGTAGTGAGGTCAGAATACCAAATGAAGAGGAAGAAAACCAGCACAAGTCAAGTGAGGTGACTTTTTATTCCCTTGTGTTAAAGTTCATTGCTTTGTTACCCTAAGGAACTGGGGTTGATTTGTTTGGTACTTTTGAGCATGAAAGCTTGACACCTGGTAACATAAAACATAAAGTATAAAACTTTTTATGATTTAGACATGATAATAATGCACTACTAGAAGAACAAGAAAGATTTAAGCATCTTTTTGTTTTCTGTAAAATTGAAAATCTCATTTTATGACTACATTTGCTTTATAGACAGTCTGCATTTTCCTAACTTTAAACTCTAAGTATCCTTCAAAATTAATTTGATTAAAGTTATATGAGTCTATCCTTTCTTTTTCTTTCTTTTTAACAACAGGGGCCCGGTAGTGCGGGCACACAGTGTGCTCTGGATTGTGGCTGTGGGATCGGGCGGGTAGCCAAAGGTGTGCTCCTTCCCGTGTTTGAGAAACTGGAGATGGCAGACATGATGGAGCACTTCCTGCTCCATGCACATGAGGAGTACCTGGGTGACGATGCTGACCGTATTGAGACCTACTACTGCTACAATCTGCAAGAATTCACCCCTCCACAAAACAAGTATGATGTCATATGGATGCAGTGGGTGGCATGTAAGTATGAAGGTTATCTATACACTCTGCTCATGAAAGATCAGGTGTATTGATATATTTGAATTTTCATCTATTGTACAATGATGCTTCAAATTGTATACTTATGAAGATACAGTATACTCTTAAGTACCTCATTATACTTATACTTTTAGACTTAGAGGTACAATGGCTTGTCACTTAACTGCTGTCCTCTAAGTTACTGCCCATGTACCCTTGACAGAAAGCACTTATACCCTCGGCACTTTATCTACCTTATCTTTGGCTGATACAAAATACAGATACAAAATGAAACTTTTCCAAATATTTTGCATGCTGTTGTAATTCTGCAAACTTGTTGATGCATTTTGCACTTTTTCAAACAGAAAATCCTAAAATTCTTTAAAAAAATGTTCTGAGGTTCTATTTTTATATTTGTGCTTATGAATTATTCTGATCTCATATTGTTTTCCTTGTATATTATGTATCTCTAGTTTATTTTAGATAACTTTAGGTTTATTAGTTCCCTTTGGCACCCCCTTTCTGTCCTTTTAGTCTCATATCTGTATTTTGTAGTTTACTGTCATTCATGTTAAGTTTGCCATGTCTCCATGTTTTTTTACTTTTTGTCTGCATCAAGCTCACATTGTCCTAGTGTCTCAGTGTTTGTGCGTCCTGATTTACTTTGATAGTCCCCTGTCTCGTGTGCTTTATGTCCCCCCGTCTCGTTATGTCTAATTTGTTACTGCTCTGTATCACAGTGTCTCTGCTCCCCTAATCACCCTCCTGTATGAATATATTGTTTTGGTCTCCCTTTGTCCTTGAGCGTCAGCTCATTTTGCCTAATGTGTCCGAGCTCCTCGTACCTCATAGTATGTTTCCCAGTTTATTTTGTGTAATTTGAAGTTTTCAGTTCCTTTTGTATTTCATGTCTAGCTTTTTGTTAATGAATTATCTTCTTAATAAACGACGTGACTTTTGTTAAGATTATTCTGACTCATGGTTTTGCATTTGGGTTAGATCACAGTCACTGGACTTCCATAGTTCTATTGGGGGACTTGATGATTTCTGCAGTGACTAATAAATCAGTTAGAAGTGACTATTTTTCCTGTCTTTCCCTTTAGGCCACCTAACAGACAAGGACCTGATGAACTTCTTGTTTCGCTGCAAAAAGAGTCTGCGTCCAAATGGTGTTATCATAATCAAGGATAATATGGCTAGGCAAGGCTGCAAGCTGGACCCCATCGATAGCAGCATTAGCCGCCACCTGGACATCATGAAGACCATCATTGCCAAGGCTGGACTGGAGGTCCTGGCTGTTGAGAGACAGGGAGGCTTCCCAGAGATCATTATGCCTGTCTGGATGATTGCTATGAAATAGAAGAGACAATTTTAGTGCAAACAGCTTAAGCTTGTGGTTTGCTTTGATAACACAAAGGAAAATTCAGCTCATAGCTGAGTTCACTTGATATTTCAGGATTTTTTTCTGCTGTTTTGCTGAAAAGCAGAACAACATAGCTAGAAATCTTAGCAGTGTAATCAATCTATAAATGTTGAAAAAGCAATGTGGACAGCATGATGGCAACCAAGGGGATTTTATGGAGACTGGGGCATTTTTTTTTCTTAAGGCCACAGTATACACACACAGTATAAGACAGCATCCTGTATGTCAGCAGATTCATACTTTTATCTCTTTATATCTTTATTACATCAATGATCTTGATCTTGTGGTTCAGACTAGTTTTGAACTAAATCAAACATCAACACCAAATATGAATCATGTAAGGTTTAATAACAAAACGTTGCACAAACTTGTAATATATATCTGGATACATTGTCTGGAAAATGGCATATTATTTTTGTTAATAATATGTTATTTTTGTTGCATGCAGTGGATGGATACAGATACCATGCCATTTCAATTGGTTTTGCTAAGGTGTAAACTAACTTTTAAAAGCTTTGTTTAGAAAACTTGACAGTAAACAGCTGGGATGGTTCAGTATGTCATCATACTGTGTATTCTGGGAATGCTTAACAGTTAGGAAGTACGGTGGCCCCCTAGAGACAAAGCACGTACAAACTCCAAAACATGTACAAACTGCTCCATGATGCTAGGGGCAGTGTTTAGCTTGATTTGCAAAATAAATGGCAAGTTTGTTGCAAACACAGGGCGTTGGATACCGGCGGGAAACACCTGCAAGGATAGAACAACCACGCTTTATAAGAAAGGTAATATGCAAACTGTTGTTTGTTTAATTTGTTTTTAATTACTATGAACGCTTAGCTTAATGTGGAGTCAAATCTGACGTTAACAAACAGTCAGTGTGCTTTGCTCAGAGAGAAGCTCAACACTGCCCCTATTGTGCTGGAACTCTTCTGTTGTGTTTTGGAATTTGTACTTGCTTCTGAGTTTGTACTTGCTTTGTCTCTAGGGGCCACCATAAAGAAGCACTGGCAGAACTAGAAAATGCTGTAGAGGTCAGACACCTAGCTTGGGCAAGCCGATTCCTCAGAACAATTTTTAACTTTTTAGCCAAGCTAACCTTATCATAGTTTCAGTCCAGTCAAAGCTAACTGTTTGCATAAAGTAATATTATAAATGTAGAGCAGTATGCCATTCAAAACAGCACCAAACTAGAATGTTTCCACAAAGTGGAAAATTACAAATGAATCACATCCCAACTGGGAGTATTTTAATTTCTCAGTTTAATTAGTCATTGTGATCTGCGTGTAAAACAGGGATGACAGATCTCTGTCTGAAATTACATAGACTCTTACAGCATATGTTGGCATGTTTATAGAGCTGATGTGGAGACAGTCGTTTTTTGGGGAAAAATAATAATAGATATTAATTTAAAAAAAGCAAAAAAACAATCACACCCAAAGATTGCAACTCCCCCCAAAGGGCAAGGGTAATACTAAAACTTGGATATTTCATGCTGATGTTAGCATTGGTCCCCAATAATGACATCTGTATTGGTTTCATACATCATTTGTGCTGATGTCAACATTGTTAACATGGAAATCTAGTGTAATATACTCATTTTTTCTGTTGTATTGTATTGTTGCAGACTTTCGAGAGTTCCCTCAAGTGATCCTATTTTATAGATGCTAGTTGTTTTTTCTGTATAGGAAGGGCTCATCTGTGTAGTTTCTTGACAAACAGTTTCAATGGAAGGAGGCAGAATCAGATAAGCTCTCCAAATCTCGATCATAGTTATTTATTTCTGAATATCACCACAGATCTTGTCTGGCTGGACTGACTGTAATCTGCTTGCAAACTGCAAGACATTTACAGTCCTTTTATTTTAGACCTCTTCTCTTTGTTAAAATCCTTATTAAAAATAATAAACTGAATTCATTTTTATAACCAAATCTGGGCAGACACACTAGAGTTCTCTAGGAAGTACAAAATTTATCAAACACAACCACTAAAACCATTTTTCTTCTGTTCAGTGTGCAGTCAGTTGTAAATATTTTTGCCTTTGTGTATTTTTAAAAAATAATAAATTATCATGTAATATTGCAGATTAATAGATGTGTCATGTTTTCCATGCTTTTATCGAATCATACTGTATATTTGTTTTGATATGAAAACTAGTTTTAGCTGGACCATTTTTGTAAAAGAAAACGTCAAATTGAAAGCTAACAGTAGCTTAGCCAACAGACTAACAGTAGAAGCAGCACATTGTTTTAAACTAATGATTTTCAGCTGGGCCCTTGAGGTGAATGTGGGGGTTATTTCCTGATTTTGACAGACAGTGCCTGTTTTCATATCTGCCCTGGCTTCATTTCAGGCCTGTCAGATGTTGTCTGCTTAAGACACATCCAGGAGTCACCACAAATATTTAATATTTGTGTGTGCAAGCGCTCAACAGGAGTGGTACAGAGCTGGGCCATCCAGAGATTTTTATGAAAGAATAGTTTGTCAGTGAGTAGGCTGGCACTGAGAAAGTACAAAATCATTAAAGCGTTCAAGGGGCAATGGCATGAGATGAACTCTGTAGCATGTTTCTCTCGTCAGAATGACTCTTTTAAGATGTGAATAGACCAAACACATTTTCCACATCCTGTATGAATTAAATATCTAAAATACCACAAAGTTAAACTTGGAGGTATTTTTTCTTTCCCCTAGCAAATAGCAGCCAAATGTGCTGTCACCTTTTCACGAGTGGTTAGCGTCGCTCACAGTCAAAGCGATCATTTCTAATACCGCTCAATGTCCTCTGCAGCCACTCGGCAGCAGTTTGAATACATTAGCTGGAGTAACACTAATTTGCCCAGTCACATCAACAGTGCAGAGCTTTGGGCTTGAATGCAGGCTGAGAGCATGTTGGGAAGACAGAGAGCACAGTTGGATGCAATAACTGCATTCAGGGCAACATAAGCTAACTTGATGGGAATGATTCAATACTGCACCGCCCAAAGAAAATATGAAATTATTGTAACGCAATTTGTAGTAACAATAAACCTGGGCTCTCGTGATTGTCCAGTGATGCACAGACAAGAGATTGTCCAGTTTTGTTAATTTAAACCTTCGTTGTTATTTAAAGCAACACGAATACATAATTCTGTCTATGGGACACACACACACACACACACACACACACACACACACACACACACACACACACACACACACACACACACACACACACACACACGCAAAACAACTAAAAGATTTATTAAAATCTAGCACTAGCTTGTAGTCCAATAACCACCTTGGTGGAGTTCTTCTTAGTCTAGTCTAGACTAGTATTACTGACAGCTCAAAAACTCGAGTTCATCTATTGCACATCTAATCTAGAACATTTAGAATAACTAATTAACCTAACTAGCATCTTTTTTTTTCTTTTTTACCTGGAGGAAACCAAAACAGGCACAAACAAAACTTGCAGAAGATTTAATCAAGAACTGTCTTTCTGTGAGGAAACAGTCCTTCCCCGCCCCACCAGAAAATAGACTTTATATAAAAGAAGACAAATGGTTTTGGACTCTTTTATTGGACCCTTTGATTTTTAAATAGGCTGATTCTTATATAGTGCTTTTCTACTCCACTTGAGCAATCAAAGCACTTTATACAACATGAACTTTTTTCCACTTAAGTTCTTGCTACCTAACATTTACACTCCAATGTATCCATCATAAAGCAACTTGTGTCTTGCTCAAGGATACTTTGACATGCAGACTGGAGCAACCACTAACCTTCTGATTAGTAGATGACCCGCTTTATCTCCCGAACTACAACCACCCACAAACCCTAAGACACATTTGTTTGTTTGTTTGTTCTAATTTATTTCGATCATGTAAACAATATGCAAAGTCCATCGAGCAGAAAAAAGAAGAGAAAAAATGCTATACAAAATAAAGCTAATACATTTCAACATTGCGTCAGCTGTGCACACTTATTTAATCCCACCCCTTTACCATAAGTTATCGATCAATATTTAATCAGCCTCCTTACTGATATAATCTGCAGTAATATTAACGAACATATGTCTGATATAATATATACATCATCATAAAATTCCTAAACAGAGGTATTCACTGAATATCAACATTTTCCCTTTCTTCATAACCCTTTTTAAACAGTTTTATGTTTGGGCATTGCTTCAACTCAACACTCTGTTCCGCAGCTTCACTCCACGCACAGAAACACAAAAGCTTTTTCTGGCAGTACGTACATCCCATCCATTAAATTATAATTTCCTTCTCCCCCCCAAAAAAGCCCATACTCTGAATATTACCTGGTCGTTCATTATCTTTTTCTTTGAACAGAATTTGTGCTGTTTGGAATTTCACATCAGCAAATTTAGATATTTCAGACTGCAAGAAAAGTGAGTTTGTCTGATCCCTATAACCTGCGTCGTGGATGATTCGAACCACTTTTTTTGAAGAGTAAAAAGTGAACGTAATGTAGTTTTATAGTTATTGTCCCAGACCTCTGCACAATAGCTTAAGTAAGGTGAAACCAGTGAACAGTAGAGAGTATGAAGTGAACCTGCTTTGCCTTGTTTAGGATTGCAATGCTTCTTTATACTTTGGAATGAATATATCTTATGTGAGCTCTCCAGTTAAGTTTTTCATCTATTATCACCCCACGAAATTTATTTTCACTGAAATGATAAATTACAGATGTATGTAAATAGTTTTTAAATTACCTCAATAGCTTTTTTTAACCACTATCATATCAATATCATTACAGTCCAATGATTTCTGATGTTTACTTTGTTTGACAATTTCAATAACTTCCTTTTCATCAATGGCTGTGAGAAACATTGAATAAGGATTTCATAAAGTCTTTATGTTAAAGTTTTGGCTGCTGCCCAACTGTTTTTCTTTTTCTTTCTTTCTTTTTGTATTTAGTTATTAGCTAATGCTAGCAAAAGAAATGTATATGGTCACACATCTAGTTCTAAGTAAAAGATTAATAAGATACTAGAATCTCACTCACCAAAACTGAAGCACAAACATGTCCACATAGAAGCCCTAAAATGTATCATATCATTTATTTAAAATGCTCTAAAAGTTGCTGAAGGCACAAAGAGTGCAATTTTAGTGACTTAAATTAGCAGAGAAGACCTAGCCAACGGGTGCCGATTACAGTGATCTGTGTTGGTACACTTTCACTGACAATAAGAATCCTCTCTTTGGGCCATTTTATTTAATATTTTCATTTTACCAGAACAAAGTTATTTGGTTACTATGATTTCTCACTTTGTGGGAGGGTCAAAGTAAATTAACCAACAACACAGCAACACAATGTCACTGCTTCTGTTCTACTTCTGCACAGTCCTAAGCATGCAATATCTCATCAACAAATGTTTGGAGCTTAGATCAGATGCTGCTGATCATAATAGTTAATTCTCCAAACTGAAGAAAGAATGAAAAATTGCAATATCCTGCCTGTTTTAAAACACATACAAAATGTCCTAACTTCTGCTTAATACACCCAAAGATTGCTGCAACTGTGTTGACTGAAAAAGAATAATTTCTCTTCCCAAAAAATGACCTTCCTGCTGAGCCTGATGGAAAACATTACTCATAACAACAAAATAAGGAGGAATTTCTTCCCATCTGGAACTGGCATGAACGGCATGAAATATGTGTGTTTGATTCACTGTGATTATAATGGAGCAATGCAGGGTCATGTTCTTGGCATTAAACGAGACACTGAGATTTAGATTTCAGCAACCTACTTTCAAATGTATTTTAGTATAACAAAATGAGTATAACAGTTAAAATAACAGCATATAAGTTACGTACAAACCCTTGCCTTTCTTCTATTTTTTAAGTGGGTTAAATGGCTTCTGAAGGACTCTTCCTTAAATGTCTAGTTTTTCTTTGGCCATTGGCTGCATTTTCATGTATTTCCAGTCCAGGTCTCTGTGACATTAGCCTTGATCTGGACCCTTAATACACACACGGGATGCGGCATTCCCAGCTCAGGATAACTCTTTATTATTCACTTTATGCAATGCTTGTGCCATTGCCTGCCTAGCTCCAGTCTATGTCCCCAGCTCCTCACTGTCATCTGCTGCCACACAAATCAGTCCCAGGATACTACTGTGTAAAATGGTAGAGGCAGAATTGGCTGATGTCTGCCAGCAGTGTTAGTCAGCTTCCCCTGGCACTGCTCCCTGAACCCACTGTGCCACCCATCCCCTGCAGCTGAGCTACAAATCACACCCTGAAGTCCGGCCCAACATGCTTACCTGTGGTAGTACCCAGCCCGCCCCCAAAACCATCTCACCTCTTTTGTTGTCTTGGAACATGGGCAGGATGCACTAGCTCCTGCTTTTTCTATATGAGAGTGCAGCTGCTCACCCCAGATACTGTACCTCCCTCCATCCAACCGTAATCTTTTTCGGGTTGGTTATGAACAGTGGCGGTCCTAGCCTCTTTGGCGCCCTGGGCGCACCCCCCCCCCCCCCCCCCCCCCCCACACACACACACACACATAAAACATATTAAGGATTGTACATTAACATAAAACGGCTAGCAGACAGCCATCATAATTCGTCATACAATAAGAACAGGACAAATCAACAACTGACAATGACTAATTAATATTAAAATCTGTAACATAATGTATTGTTTGGAGTTTAGTCTGTTACTGTTACTGTTACTTCTATTTTTACCATTTCTTCTTGGAGCAACTGTAACCCACATAATTTCCTGAGCGATTAATAAAGTATTCCGATTCTGATTTTTTCAGGATGACCTGCCATTATCCAATGACACATCTGCTTACCTGTATCTTTTGCTCGTTTCTCCTCCTCTTCTTTTTTTTTACTCAAACTGATGGCTTTGAACTTTTCTTGTCCATCTTCCATTGGTTTTAATTTTGCACTCCAGTATGAACACCCATCCCCTACAACCTACACCTTAGTTCACATATTCACTTTGTGTAGGGTTTATTTCTAGGATTTCGCGCAACCCAGGGTTCAAATCATGAATACATAATGGGCTTGGATTTACATCATTATGGTAAATGGTCTGTATTTGTATAGGGCTTTACTAGTCCCTAAGGACCTCAAAGCGCTTTACACATCCAGTCATGCACACATTCACACACTAGTGATGGCAAGCTACATTGTAGCCACAGCCACCCTGGGGAGCACTGACAGAGGCGAGGCTGCCGGGCACTGGCGCCACCAGGCCCTCTGACCACCACCAGTAGGCAACGGATGAAGTGTCTTGCCCAAGGACACAACGACCGACGCTGTCCAAGCTGGGGCTCGAACCAGCAACCTTCCGATTACAAGGCGAATGCCCAACTCTTGAGCCATGATTATGAATGAAATGTGCTCTATTTGGAAGCAGCCGGCCCCCCTCCCCTTTCAACAAGTTGTGTGTGAGACTTTAAATCATCAAAGTGTAAATTATGAATTTTAAATTGGTATTGATCCCTTTACCTCGAGTCCTAAAGTGTATATTTATTTTCTTACTCTTCTTATATTTATTGTTTGTTTACTTCCACTGCTGTAACTGGAGCTTCGTCGTCTCGTCTCTCTATATACTGGACTGTATTTAGCGGAGATGTCAATAAAGTTTACTTTTACTTCAGCAGCGAGCAGGCGCACCGAGGAAAAACATCGGT